AGGGGATGTGGCTGTCCTGGACCTCCCCGTGGTGACAAGGTTTTCCAGCTCTCATCCAAGCCAGCCCCGCGTTGCCGGGCACGGCTGGAGCGGGCAGCTGTTCCCTTTCCGCCTGCCTGCTCCCTGCATCCCTGATGGTTTGCACAAGGCAGGAAATGTCAGCAATGAGCTCCCGTTAATGGCACTTCACCCACTGCTCTCCTAAAAACCGCTCAGGCGGGCGGCTGGGATGGAATGGGAGCAGGAGCCGGGAGAGCAGCTCTTGGCAACCTGCTGCGCTGCCAGCACCGCGGGGCCGAAAGGATGGAAGTGCCTGGGGATAGGGATGTTACTGTGGTACCCGTGCAATGCACAGGCCTGAGGAAACCCTGCCAGCCGCATTTGCAGGCTAGGGCAAGCACCGACACGCCTTTCATCCACATCAAAACATTCAAGTCCACCAAAGACCTTTCAACTCCCCAACCTGTTTTGAATTTGGGAATGTGGAAAATTCACTCTCCCTGTCTTGGCTACGAAGTTCATGCACCGCGTGCATCCCCGCCTGTTTTCGCCAGACATCATGGTTGGCTGGATGGGTGTTCACTGGAATTTCGGCATTAATGAGAGGAGATACAAGCTGAAGCAGGCTGCCCGATGCCAGTGGGATGGAGCCCACAACCGTTCTACCCTTAGTCCATGACCCAGGATCTGCTGAGTCTAGGTCGCCCAGCCAGGAGCCCCACCCCTGCCCCCGTTCCTGATAAACTGGGCTAATAAGCTATAAAATGGTGATTATTTTTTGACAGCGATGACTTGGGTCATCCATGGGGAGGAAGCGGGGTCAGAGCATTGTGGTGCCTGCCCTTCACACCCTCTGCATCCCTGGGGGTGTCCCCAGGGGTATCCCCATCCCTGCAGCTGTGTTGGGGGTCTGGGGAGAGGCTCCAGGGCTGGAGGAGGTTGCTGTGGCCTCGCTCCTGGTGTGTGAAATTGTGCTGTGGGTGCCTGGAGCTACTTCTGGGAAAGGGTGGGTTTTGTTTTTTCCTTGTCTTCCTGTGTGGAAGAGGAAAGCCACTTCTAGCTGCCAGCAGGACACAGTGGCCGGACACGGTCAGGGATGTGTGTCCCTGGCCTGGGAGTGAAGCTGAGGTCACCACGTGCCTTCAACCATGGCCAGATCCACCCAAGGAAACCTTTGGCAGCCCCGGCACTGCAAAGCCCTGGGGTGTCCCTGCATGGTCCCCTCTCTGGGCAGGGGTTATCAGGGCTGAAGGCTTTGGTCACCCATTACCGTGGGTCGGGTGGGAGGCCAGGGCCATGGCTGGTGGCACTGACAGAGCTGTCCTGTGTCCCTCCAGCACGGGGAGCAGTGACCCATACTGCATCGTGAAGATTGACGATGAGGCCATCATCAGGTGAGTGGCTGCAGGTCCCTGGCTGGTCCCAAACCTGCTGGAGCCCTAAATTTGGTTTCTGGTGGGTTCCTCCATTTACCCTCCTGTGGTCACAATATTATTGTTACTATTATTATTGTTATTACTATTAATAATAATAACATTACTACTATTACTGCTATTCCCTGCTTTGGGCTGAGATGTTCCTCCTGACACAGTGATGTCTAATAGCTCACAGCCCCCCTTACTCTGTAAGCCACCCCCATGTCTTGCCAGCCCAGAGCCTCAAGACTGGCCAAGGACATGTGTCTCCAAAAGCTGGGAAGGTCCTGGGGCTGGGAAGGTGGGGAGTGCCCTGGTGAGGGAGCCCTGTCCCCTGTGTCACCAGTGCCACCTGCCCTGCAGGACTGCCACGGTGTGGAAGACGCTGTCCCCGTTCTGGGGGGAAGAATATGAGGTGCAGCTCCAGCCCAGCTTCCACAGCATCTCCATCTATGTCATGGATGAGGATGCGCTCAGGTATGGGGAGGGCCTGGAGGGGGACTCAGGGGTTTATAGCTTTGGCTCCCCGTGTGCTCAGCCCCATTGCAGACACCAGAGAATCCAGACCTGACCATGCTTCCCTGAGCTTTGGGACACAAAGAGGGGAAGTTATTTCCCGAGGTTATTGTCCAGCTGGCACCAGAGGGTGGCTGATGTGCTCCATGGGTTCAGACACACCGTGGTGGCCCCAGCCCAGGACTCCCTGAACTGGGGGCTGTCCTGCCTGGGTGCCAATCTCATGCCATGTCCTGCTTCCCACTTTTGTTTTCCAGCCGCGACGACGTGATCGGGAAGGTCTGCATCACCCGGGACATGCTGGTGGAGCACCCCAAGGGTAGGGGAAAGGGTGGCTGGGGGGGTCCCAGTACGGACCCATCTCCTTGGATAAGCTGGTCCAAGGGCCCCCCCAGTGACCCTTCCATGGGGATCCCCCCTTTTCCCGCAGGATACAGTGGCTGGATGAGCCTCAGTGAGGTGGATCCCGACGAGGAGGTGCAGGGGGAGATCCACCTGCGGGTGGAGGTCCTGGGCAGCCAGGGCAGCCGGCGGCTGCGCTGCTCCGTGCTGGAGGCCAGGTGAGGAGGGGACAAGGGGTGGCAGGGGCTGTGTGTGCAGCCAGGACACGGGCAGTGAGCCTGGGCTGCTTCATGACTCAGTTTCCCTGGTGTGTCCTGTCCCTTGGATGCAGAGCATCCTCCTCACCACCCAGCAGCTGATGGGGGTCCTGGGGCAGAGTCCACCTCATCTACTGGTCTTTGGGACATGCTGGGGAACTGAGGAGGGCAGTGGGTGCCATGGGTGCCATGTAGGTATTTTGGGAGGTCACTGATAAATATCTTCCTCTTCTGGGCAGGGATTTGGCCAGGAAGGACCGGAATGGGGCCTCTGACCCCTTTGTCCGCCTGCGCTACAACGGGAAGACACAGGAGAGCACTGTGAGTGTGACTGCAGCTCGTTGTGATCCTCAGCCTGCCAGTGGTGCAGGTGGAATCGTCCCATGAGGAAGCCTGAAGCCATCCCTGTTCCCTGGCATCCCTAGACTGGTGTCCCTGAGGGGCGGGACACAAGGCCATTGCCCTTGCAGGTGGTCAAGAAATCGTGTTACCCCCGCTGGAACGAGACCTTCGAGTTCGAGCTGGCCGAGCCCGCCGGGGAGAAGCTCTGTGTGGAGGTGTGGGACTGGGACCTCGTTGGCAGGAACGACTTCCTGGGCAAGGTGAGCCCCCAAACTCCATCACTGCTGCAGGGGGTCCTGCCCAGCTGCCCACCCAACCCTCTCCTGCCTTCCCCTGCCAGGTGGTGTTCAGTGTCCAGGGGCTGGAGGCGGCTGGGCAGGAGGAGGGGTGGTTCAGGCTGCGGCCGGACAAGTCCAAGCCGATGGAGAACGAGTGAGTGTTGGCACAGGGGCGTTGGGGTGTGCTGGGGGTGGTCCCAGAGCCCAGAGGGGCACTGGGGAGGGGGTTATTCCTGGGTAATGTCATCCTTTGGAGGAGCAGCTCCTCCACCTGCCTGCCCAGGCTTTCTCAGGCTGTTGGGTCACCTCCTGCTTGGTGAAGTACTTCTCCCTCCACCCACCGACCCACCTCATGCTCCTGCAGGCGCCGGGGCAGCCTGGGCTCACTGCAGCTGCAGGTGAGGCTGCGGGATGAGATGGTGCTGCCTTCCCACTGCTACCAGCCCCTGGTCCAGCTCCTGTGCCAGGAGGTGAAGTCGGGGCGCCAGGTGAGGGGTCCCTGCCAAGCCCTGCTGGAGCACCCCCCTTTCCCTGGCTCTGTGCCGGGCCTGTACCCGACTCAGGCCACATCACACCATGGTGCCTCTCCCCTCCAGGATGGCCAAGTGCACCTGGTCACCCTCCTGGATGAAACCACCACGGCCGAGTGCCGGCAGGAGGTCGCCGTCAACTTGGTCAAACTCTTCCTGGGCCAAGGGCTGGTCAAGGAGTTCCTGGACCTGCTTTTCGAGCTGGAGCTGGCCAAGCCCTGTAAGTGGGAAGTGGAGTCAGAGGCCTCCAACCATCTTCTGGGGCTGCAAAACCTCTGGGATCTTGTGTCGGGAATTTTTTGGGGTGATGGTTGAGGTTCAGCCGTCACACTGTTCTCTGTGTAGGAATCTGCTGGGTTCATCCCAGCAACTCCTGAGCTGAGTTTGGTGGAGGAGCAGGTGGTTTGAGGTTTGGAAATCCCCATAACCCTCATGGAAATGGCCAGGGTTGGAGGGCACAGCCCCTGGGAATGCCCCCATGATTGAAGCTGCTTGGTGGGTAACCTGTGTCCATCCCCCAGGCCATGGAACCTCTCTTGTTTTGCAGGTGAGCCCAACACTTTGTTTCGGAGCAATTCCCTGGCCTCAAAGTCGATGGAGTCCTTCCTCAAGGTGCCAAACTTCCCAAGACTTGCTCTTCCCAGGTCACCCTGGCTCTGGGATGTCCCCAAGGGTCCAGTTCCCAGGGGGAGGATTGGGAGTGCTAGTGGGGCTGTGTCTTCCCCTGGGGCTGGGAGGCTGGAGAAAATCCCCTGGGTGCCCCTGAGGGTGTCTTGAGCCAGACCTGTGGCCCATCACTGTCCCCTGGGCTGTCCCCTGGCAGGTGACAGGGATGCCATACCTGCACTCTGTCCTGGGGCCCACAATTGCCCGCGTGTTCGAGGAGAAGAAATACGTGGAGCTGGACCCCGGCAAGGTGGAGATCAAAGACGTCGGGTAAGGGACTGTTGGGGAGGTGGGACAGGGGGTCCCCAGACAGGGAGGTGACAGTGACAGTGCCCGCAGGTGCTCGGGGCTGCACCGGGTGCAGACGGAGGGCGAGGTGATCGAGCAGGGCCGCCAGCACCTCCAGTCCTACCTGGGCGAGCTGCTGGACGCCATCGCCAGGTCGGCCCCGGCATGTCCCCCCGTCATCCGTGCCGCCTTCCGGCAGCTCTTCCAGCGCGTCGGGGAGCGCTTCCCCCAGCACCAGGTCAGGCTGGGGCAGGGGAGTCAAACAGGGACATCCCCAGGGCTCTCTGGGTGCAGTCCCCAGCTTTGGTTGATGGGGTCCCCTCTTGGGCTTGAGGGCAGTGCCCAGGGATGGGGTGCAGGGGGACAGCGAGTGGGGCCCTGCTGCACCCAAACAACAGCCCTGGGTGCTGTGTGGGGTGCCTGGGGATGTCCCATTTTGGGACAGGCCCCCACATGTCTCCCTCCCCCATCTCGGTGGTCACAGCATGCCAAATTTGTGGCCGTCACCAGCTTCCTCTGCCTCCGCTTCTTCTCGCCGGCCGTCATGACCCCCAAGCTGTTCCAGCTGCGGGAGACACACGCGGACGCGCGGACCAGCCGCACGCTGCTGCTGCTGGCCAAGGTGGGGACACCAAGGGACAAGGGGTGGCACCCGGGAGGGGCTTTGAGGTGCCTGGCTGCTTCCCATTCGGGATGGCTGGGTCTTCGGGGCTGACACCATGCAATCCCCGGGCGTTCCAGGCATTCAGATGGTGGAAACAGGGCTGCGGCCGGTGCAGGGGCCAAGGAGACGGGCGTGGTCCCCTTGCTGCTTGGCCCTGCCTGCAGCAGGGCATCGCCCGCATGAAGGACTTCATCACCCACCTGGTGGGCACAGAGGAGCAGAAGGGGGAGGAGGAGGGCGAGGGGTGGCCGCTGGGCCCCCCCACGGCCGTGGTGAAGGAGGGGCTGCTCTTCGTGCACAAGACACGGGGCAAGGGGCCTCTTCTTGGTGCCGCTGCCGGCAAGAAACTTCACTTCTGCCTCACTGGGGAGTCCCTCAGCTTCGGCAAGAGCCCCAGTGCAGAGGTAGGGGGGTGCTGGGGGCTGAGGGTGTGGCA